GATCGTGACCCTGGATACACCCACTCAGGTAAGCTTACAGCTTGGCGGCTATGGCCGCCGTCCTCCTGCTCTACCCATACCCTAGCTTTGGGGTCACACGCGTGTGCCCTATTCTTCCTCGGGCACACAGTTCCCAAGTTGCCTTAACACACAAGCAGCAGCAGCACTTCCGCATCTCGCAACTGAACAAGTGATGAGCCGCTGCACTGTAGCAGCTAAATATAGGACTTGGCCTGGCTTGGCTTGGCTTGGCTTGGATTGGCTTGGATTGGTTTGGCTTGGTTTGGCTTGGTTTGGCTTGGCTTGCCTTGGCTTGGCTTGGCTTGGCGTGGCTTGGTTTGGCTTGGCTTGGCTTGGCTTGGCTTGGCTTGGCTTGGCCTGCTTCAGACCGGTACGGGTCGGCCGCGGCCTGTCCGCTGCAAACATTTTGTCGGTCCGGTAGCTTCCGGACTTTCCTGGGACATGCTGCAAAATCGGACTTGGGACTGTCGGACCAGACTGGACTCTTCTGGACTTTTCTTGCCGGGTACCGGACGGACACCGACCTACGACGCTTTGGTACCGACAGCTACCGACCTTACGACACTTCGGCCTCTAGATCCTATGGCCTACCCTACGGGGTGGCCCTGGGACTTGGGACTTGTCGGGATCCTGGGACCGGGACTGGGTGTCTGCAGCGTGAATCCTTTCATAAGTCTGTTTAGGGTAGTTACACTGTTTGTACTTGGCCTAGTCTTTATGGCTGTTTGTACTCTGTTTAGGAGTGCCTAGTCTTTTTATACTTCGTCGGCTTAGGGTACTTAGCCTGTCTGTACTTGGTCTATTTGGGGACTCTGTACGGACTGTTTGTATGCGGTCTGTTTATAGTGTGTATATACTTATGTCTGTTTAGGGTAGTTTCACTGTTTGTACTTGCCCTAGTCTTCATGTCTGTTTGTACTCTGTTTAGGAGTTCTTAGTCTGTCTATACTTTGCCTGTTTAGGGTACTTAGCCTGTTTGTACTTTATCTGTTTCGGGTAAATATACAGACTGTTTGCGCTTGGTCCGTTTAGGGTGTCTATACTTAAAGCACCAGTGCACCACACATCAGCCCGTGGGTGTCAGCACGAAACCCGCACCACTTCGGACGCCGCCGATTTTTTTTTTCAATGGCAGGCCTGGCCGCCTGGCGGCTCCAAGTTTTGCTTGTGGCGACAAAAACTTTCTGCAAGGCTGGGGCTGTGTACTAGCGGTTTAAGTCTGTTTAGGGTACATACTTTCTTTGTACTTGGCCTAGTCATTACGTCTGTTTGTACTCTGTTTAGGGTTGCTTAGTCTGTTTATACTTTGTCTGTTTAGGCCCTTTAGGGTACTTAGTACTTTGTCTGTTTGGGCCCTTTACGGTACTTACCACTTAGTCTGTCTATACTTTGTCTGTTTAGGTTACTTATCCTGTTTGTACTTTTGTCTGTTTGGGGTGTCTGTCATATTTTGTTTGTTTAGGGTGTCTTCTGTTCAGGGTACTTACTCTGTTTGTACAGGGCCTAATCTTTATGTCTGTAATGACCCGTCATAACACAGACTGAGAACACTGCTGATTTCTGAAGTTCTGCCGATGGAATGGATGCCTTGCTGAGATTCCCGCATTCTGCTGAGTTTTCTAAGTCTGTATGTGTGTGTGCTTGTTGACTTGCAAGCCTGTCTGAGTGCTTGTCGGCATGAGTGTGTGTGTGACCCGCAAGGTTACTTGCTTGTTTGGCAGGCCCGTAGGGCCGGTACTTACCTGTGGCCATGGCATTGAGGGTTGCAGCAGAGGAAAACACTCAAGTGGCAGAGCCAGAGGCCTGCGGCCTTTGGAGTAGCGGAAAAACACTCAAGTAGCAAGTAGATCTGTACCGCACCCAGTAGCAGTAGATGTGCCGGGTACTCGAGGCCGAGCAAAAGAAGACAAAGTTGGCATTTTTAGAGGCCCAGTAGTGTAGGCTAGGTCTAGGCCGGTACCAGTCCATCCGGTCTGAGTCTAGAGCCTGTACTGGGCAATATCAGAGTCTGCAATGATGTTTCCCTCTGAAAGGGAGGAGGTACTGGTTGCTTGGGAGGCCGAGCGGCCTGGAAGTCACCGCCCAGGAGGCAAGTAGGCCGCTATATCAAGAGGCCGAGGGAAGAGCCCGGCCTCATTCTTCAGTGTGCAAGTTTGGCAACATGCTGCTGGAGCGCTGGCTGGAGTAGCGCTGGGTACTACAGCGCTGCTGGGAGGAAGAAGCCGGGAGCTTCCACCTTGGCTATGGTGGAGCTCTACCGGTAGGAGGAGGAGGGAGAAGGGGACCAAGAAGGAGAGTGGCGAGGTACTTACCTGGCTATGGTGGGCACCATCTTCATCACCTTGTTAGGCGCTGCATCTGGGAGGCCCCAGTTGGGGTAGTGCCGCACGAAGGAAGCTCAGGGCAGAGACAGGCATGGCGGCCTAATGAGCAGCGGCATAGATGCTTTGCGTTGTGCTTTGCACAGGGAGGCGGCGACATAGCTGCTTTGGGTTGTCCTTCGAACAGGAGGGTTGAGCCCTCAGTAGTCCGCCATAGCCTCAGCCTACATGTGAGAGGAAGGAGAAGGGTGGCCATGGCTATGGTGGACCTCATGTTGTGCCTGCGGTAGAAGTGGGATTTGGACATTGATTCTGGTTCAGCCTTTCAACATTATTATTGTTATTTCTTGTTTGAATAAGAGGGGAGGAGATAAGGAGGAGGAGATTGGTTGGCGAACAAGAAGAGCCTTATCTTTGTTTTATGCTGGAGTACATCATCTTCTTCTTCTTTCTTACTTCTTCTTCTTCTTCTTCTTTCCCTCTCTCTCCTGTCAAGTTCATTCATTTCTTTTTGCAATTGGACGGCGTTGTACTTTCTGATGAATGTATGCTTCGAAATTGACCAGGATCGTAACATGTCTCTTTGTGCTTGGTCTGTTCAGGGTGTCTAAACCAAGTCTTAAAAAAAAAAAAAAAAACAGTTGGCGCTGCCAGTGATGGCTGTCTACACTAAGTCTGTTTTGTACTTTATCTGTTCTCTGGATATCCGGACAACATCCGGAACAGCCCGACATCCACTCCCGGACTGGACTGGCCCGATGATCATCTCGGTTTTCGAATACGTCCAGATTATTAAAAAAAAAAAAAAAGAACGTGTAGGCATATGTAACGTAAAGATACGTGAGACCTGTGTTCACCTCACCGTCTTCTCCTGAACGCACCGTACGGTTATTATAGCTGTATTTGGAGCAATTTTCAGTCTTGGTGCAGTGATAATGAATGACCCGGTGTTTTATTCGGATGAAGACAGTAGCATGAAATTGCTGCGCAAACTCTCTGATGATTTGGGTGTCATCGTCTTCTCTCTGTGCCATTCGACCTGTGCTCCTTTTTCTTGCAGGTATCGTGAAGAAGACTAATCCTCTGTTATGGCATGAGAGACTGGACGTCTGTGTTGGCATTGCTTCCGCGGTACGTCAAATGATCTGCTCCTTTTCTATTACTTACTTTATTGCCAAAAAAGCTAGGCTACCAGAGTGGCCCGAGACCACCTGCGCGGCTGTGCCAAAAAGAAGCAAGAAAAAAAAAAATCATACCTGCGGCGCATCTCGTGCGCGCGCATGCACGTGATGCGGTGCACCCCAATAAATAGGGTCGATAAAAAGAAAATCAGAAACGGCAGTCTGTGGTAGCCAAACGTGCCCCTCCCATCCGAAAATTCTAAGGGCTCTCCGCAGGATTGGTTGGGTTGCCTGCCTCCTATGTTCAGTTCACTATCAACAAACAAACAACAGCTGTGCACACAAGGAGAGGAACGCAAAATAGGTCCACCTAGTATGGGACTTGTAGTGAAACGTCTGTACCTAGCACCTGAAGTACCTGGGCGACAAGGCTCACACAAATATGCTTCGATCAGGGCTGAGTGGGGTGTGTGGGACTCAGCTTAGCCCTGGTACCTACAACCACGGTTCGGTCAGGTCACCCCCAAGGCTGGAGGGTGACGATCCTGGGTGGTAGACACTGAGGTAGGATAGTGGGAGTAGGAGTGCGCAGGGAGAAATTATGAAAGAGGTAGGTTGGGAGGGAATCCTATAGGATTAGGGGGGCTCTACCACATGGCCGAGTGCCGAAGGCGACTCTCATATGTCTGTAATCCAGCCTCTACGACAACCTGGGCTTGAAAATTAAAAAAAAAAAAAAAAAAGTGGCCCACATCGCACTACTCATTGGATTCAGTCTCATTACCGAAAAGGCCCCCAGGAGGAAATCAGCAAGGGGCTAGGCTACCAGCCGGGGCCGCCCGGGTCACCCTATTTTCCCGGGCAGCCCGGCCGTGCAAGGACCAGGAAAGGTCCAAGCCAAAAAAAAAAAAGGAAAAAAACTATATTATGCAGAAACATAAACTGAACAACTTTTGCCTCAGGGTTACATCGAAATTCTTTACCAATTTTAAAATTAAAAATTAAATTACAATTTTTTTATTTTTTTATTTTTTTTCTATTTGGCTCGGCCGGGCAAATGGACCCGGTGCCATGTACCACATGCTCCGATGAGCTAGGTCCTCGTTGGGTTTTCTACCACGAGTGACGTCGGGCGACGCTTCAGATGGGGTGCTGTTCTGAACATCGCGTGGTTGATTTTAGTTCTCTCTGGAGGTCCTCCAAAACAAACATTTGTGGGAAATGCCACAAAAAATGGATTCTCTCGTATACAACGCCCCCTACCCTTCGGCCTTTCCGTTGAGCTAGCTGACTCGAAAAAAGAAGACAGCTAGCTCAACGCTCCGTGGACCATTTTCCGTTGCGTTTTCGTTTTTTTTTATTTGGCTAGTCATCATTCACCGTGTCAGACTGTTTTCGTGGATCCGTCATGTTCGGGCTGACAGCTGGCCCGTTCCCAGCCGTTTCACATGGTTTGTTCGAAGCATAGAATTTTGGGGCTGTGTGTGGCTGGCACGCTGACCACGTTCAATCGCAGCACCGTGTTGCAACTCTGAGGTTGTGCACAGGCCGGCCTCCTGATACTTGCAAGTAATACCCCACAGACAACCAGCCAAGATGGATGGGGTCGAAGACGGCGTTGAGGTTCATGGACTTTGGAAGTTCTCATGCGGGTCTCTCTCTCTCTCTCTCTCTCTCTCTCTCTCTCTCTCTCTCTCTCTCTCTCTCTCTCTCTCTCTCTCTCAATGAAAAAAAAAACAAAAAAAAAAGGGAAAAAACAAAAAGTCGGCTGTGATATCACAAAGTTCGACGATACCATTGCAGCCCCAAGTTGGCAGCTTGAGCGAGATAGACAGGCAACAGCGAACGAACGCATGCACACACACACACACACACACACACACACACACACACACACACACACACACACACACTCTATCCTGCCCTCCCGTTGCCCCTACCTCCCCTGCCCTGCCCCATACTCCTAGAGAACTCCGCCTTCTACCTCTTACCCTCCACCCTCCCCTCCACTCCCCTTGTACTACTAACAAATACATACGAATGAGCATCATTAAGAGTATAGAAGATATGAAGATCAGAAATGAAATGAGCGGAAGTATGAAGATGAAGGACGGACACAAGGACTGTATAAGCTGAAGATCTGAAGTGAAATGAACAGGATTATGAAGCTCTGAAGAGATGCACAGGTGCATCCCTTCCCTTTTACTCTGCCTCCTGAAATAACGTGCAAGTGGGCCGTGAAGGCACACGGGGATGTGGGCAGCTGCCGCTCAACCACAATCAACGTGGGCAGCCTTGTGCGTAAGAGGCACAGTAAAAGGGGAGCTGCAAGAACAATGAAAGGGGTACCCCAAGGACAACCAAAAAACTGTCTAATTATAAAATTGCTTCAATATGTTGGACATCTCAAATGCTCTCGTTGTCTGCAATAGGGCAAAGACTGCTTTGATTCTGAATCTATTCACCTGGGTGGAATTGGGGCTGTTGTGGGGAAAATCTAAAACGCACACGCACACACACCGCTCTGTTTCCTTCTCAGAGTGGCCAACCCGGACCCAGCCTCCGGCTGCTGGTACCTCAGCTAAACCACACACAAGGGGCACAAGGCGAGAACCTGGACAGTGCTTCGTCCCAGGACATCGGGCCAAAAACTGAAGGATAGGCTCTTCCCGTCGTTCAGATTGGATCCCTTGGGGAAATGTTCGCACTTATTGCGGACAGGTCATGTCGGACTCGTCGAACCTTCCTTTTTTGGCGGCAGTCGTCATTATGACATGCGTACGAGACACAAAACATTTACCGAATAAAAAACCCCGGGAATACTGTGAATGCCATTTCAAATTGTGTATCCTTTTTTTTCGATTTACAAAAGCCTTTTAGGGGTGTCACACCGTTAAGTTGGCTCAACTAAACGGTGCAAGTGGGACATGGCCCCCCGGCGTGTCTCACGCAGAATTCAGTGAACATCTGTGTTTTCCTTTTCTTACGTCGAGTGCCCCTAAAGGCACCTCGTTCCACTACCTTCTTCCCCCGAATACAACGTATGGTCATTATAGCTGTATCTAGACTGAAAGATGCCTCAAATACAGCTATAATAACCGTACGTTGTATTCGGGTGAAGAAGGTAGTCACCACCTGCACCTCAAATACATATGGCGGCGTAAGGTTCCATGTTCTAGCAGAAGATTCATTCTATTTTTGTGCATTTGGTGAGTAGCGGAGCGAAGCCCTAAAAATCCAGTGCTGAGGTAGTAACTTAGTAACCCATAACTGCCGAATTGCGGACCTGAATTCGAATCTACGGATTCTACGCCATAAATAGTTGGCCTGCTGCTGTCCTGCTACGAGCCCCACGACTGCCCTCGTACTTGGCAAGGAGACCCATGCTAGTAATCTGCAGGGCCTTTTTTTTTGTTTTCTTGTAACCTAATTATTTGAAGCCCAACCAATTCAATTACCTGTCAAATCTGGACAGGACTCTCTCCATCTCTCTCGCGTGTATACACACATAACAGCCGTTTTTTGTTTTTTTTTTGTTTTTTTTTTTGTTTTGTTTTTTGAGCCTTTTTGAGCCTTTTTCCCTGTTTTCTTTCGCGCACCACGCTACGCTCACCGCACCGCATGGCATGTGCGCCGCAGGTATGATAAAAATCAAATGCTTATTTTATTTTATTTTTTCATTTTAATTCAGTAAAGCATTTCGATGTGACCCTGATGCAAAAGTTGTTCAGTTTATTTTTCTACATAACATAGTTTTTCCTTGGATTTTTTGGAGTTTTTTTTTTTTTGCTGGGACCTTCCTGAACCCTTGCACGGCCGAGCCGCCCAGGCAGCCCAGGTAACCTAGGCAGCCCGGCTGGTACCCCAGCAAAAAAAAGTCAAAAAAACAAAAAAAACTTCATGTTGTATCTAAAACTGCTTCTTCATGAGGCTGTATGCTTGAATATACCTTTTTTAAGTGTTTTTGTTTTGGGGAAAATCTTTGATTTAAGACCATACACACGTTCCCCCACCAACATGGCTAATAATGGCCTGACCTTTTTATTTTATTTTTTTTATTTAAGTTTAAATAACTTAGACCATTTATCCATTTATGTGTGTCATCTTTTTTTTTTTTTTTCCCTTTTTTCTTTTCTTAAAGCCCAGGGTGTTGTGGAGGCCGAGGACCAGACCCGCGATGATTGCTGGTAGCGGCAGCCAATGGTTGTCCTGACAGGAAAGGCCACCTACCCTACCCATCCCCACGTTAATACTCCCAGCGCACCCCCTGTCCCTACTATCCTACCTCAGTGTGACCAGCACTCAGGACCATCACCCTACCAGTATCGAGGGCAACTTGGCCCAGACAGCAGTGACAAGCACCAAGGCTGGGCCAACCTCCCAGCTCTAATGGAAGCGGAAGCGGACGAACCTTGCCGTACGGGAACTTCGGACGCCAGGTTCATGCAATCTTCTACAGGCCCAATTCAGAGAGTCTACCCAGCAGGAATACCCAAGCAAGGCAGGCCAGCGCCCGTGGCCACATCCTACGTCCTTCCCCTAGCTTACCCAAGGCTAGGCGGAACTCAGACTAGCCGGAGCGACTTATATCCCTACCCTAGCTAAGCCATGCGTGAGTAGACCCCGTCATATACCTGTCATCTTTGTGCAGGGGCCATGCTTATCTTCTCTGTATCTTTCCAATTTCAAAAATTAAAAGAAAAGGGGGAAAAAAAACAAAAAACAGAGGGCCAGAAGGAACTGATCGGTAATCCCTTGCGGTTATAATGTATTAGAGTATACTCGCAGTAGGGCTTTTTCCCGTTCTGTCTGGACGTAATCGTGGTCAGGTGCATCCAGGCTGGATAGGAAAAGCAGTCTTATACACTCCTGAATGCCCTTGTGTCCAGTAATATTCACAGTATAGCTGCTCGGTATTAATCTTCGTCTTGTAATGGAACTGCTTGATTGGGGCGCGCGTCCTCCCTACTTTGTTCGTTCTTGGGCGCAAGTCAACACTAAGGGCGTACTCACACGGGCACTATCTGAAATGTATCTGACCGCATTTACGGCCGGACCTGTATGCATCTGGCCGCAATTCCGTCCAGAAGTATGTCAAAAAGTGCTAGTTTGACTACGCCCTTAAGGGGGATTAAAGAATGAATGTGTGTGAGCACAACGGGGTTAACGACGCCACAGACGTAGGGTACCTTGTGCTCTCTGATTATGGGCCTCACTCCACTGCTCACCACATGCAGAAAAGACAAAAAATATTGTGGTGTATGTATGTTCCCTTCTTCTAGCGGAAGATTCATTCTCACTTTGCACATTCGGTGAGTAGTGGAGCCAGGCGCTATTGCTCTGTTTATGGGTTGTTGGGATTGAGATGGAAACTCCTAAGAAACAGTCTGGCACAGCCCCTCGTTTGTTGTCGTCTTCTCCCTCTCTGCCTACGGTTCACCGGGCGGTTCTCTATGACAGTATATCTGTTCTTTTTTGTTCTTGTTTTTTGTGTGTGCGTGTCTTCTCCTCATATGGGGGACATATTTCCATATTTTGTTATGATAGGGAGCCCATCAGGAGCCTCCCATGGTTATAGAAGGAGCCAATCCTAATAACACCACCTCTGCTCAATGTGGGGACCACTACCCAAGCCTCTCTAACACCTGGCGCAAGCTGGAGAATACCCCAACTTTACCACAGCCTGCCAGGAGGACCAAGCCGACTATCTCCGCTGTTGGGCCCTAAGCTTGCCACATGGGGCCGCGTGGAGTCGAAAGGACGGCGTGGGGAATCGATCCCACGACCTCCTGAATGCCACTTATATGCTCAACCAACTGAGCTATGCTGCTAGGCCGACAATACATCTGTTGTTTTTATTAAAATTTAAAGCAAAAAAAGTTAGATATAACAACCCGCAAAATCGCAGACAGAGAAACTGCTGATTTCTGAGCTGTGAGCATGTTTGCTGGTTTCCGTGCGTTTTGCTGAGTGCAGGAGTGCTTGAGTGTGTGGGTGACCCTCCAAGGTACGCTAGCTCGCGAGGCTCGTGGGGCCGGTACTTACCTGTGGCCGTGACTTTGAGGGTTGCAGCGGGGGGAAAACACTCAAGTGGCTGAAGCGGTAGCTTAGGGCACACTCAAGTAGCGTAGTGTTGGTACCGGTAGTACTTGAGTAGCAGTAGGCCGAGCAAAAGACAACAAAAGCTAGTATTTTTAGAGGCCCAGTAGTGGTAGACCTAGGTTTAGGCAGGTTCCAGTCCAAGCAGCCTGAGTCTAGGGCCTGTGCAGACGATGTCAGAGCTTGCAATGATGTTTCCCTCCGAAAGGGAGGAGGTATCGGTTGCTTGGAGGCCGCTCGGCCTAGGAAGGCACCGCTGAAGACTCAGGTTGCCCGCTATATCTCCAGGAAGAGCGTTGTCCTATTCCTCATTTGCTGCGCCTGGAGGTTGAGCGCTGGTGAGTAGCACTGGGAGGAGGAGCGCCTGCGTGACCACCTTGGCTATGGTGGAAGACCCCAGGCGGGAGGAGTAGGAAGAAGGGGACTAGGAGAGGGGAGCGCCAGAGGGACTTAAACCTGGCTATGGTGGATGCCATCTTCATTCCCTGGTAGGCGCTGCATCTGGAAGGCCCCAGTTGGGGTAGCGCTCCATCAAGAAGCTTCGAGGCAGAGTCAGGCATGACGGCCTGAGCAGACAAGGACATAGCTGCTTTTGCGTTGGCTTTTGCGTTGGCTTTTGCACGTCAGGGCAAGGCCCTTAGTAGTCCACCATGGCCTCGGCCTTGACGAAGTGAGAGAGGCGTAAGGCCATGGCTATGGTGGACCTCATATTGTGCCAGTAGTAGAAGAGGGACTCGGACATTGATTCTGGTTCAGCCATTCATGTTATTATTGTTAATAGGAGACAAGGAGATTAGGAGGAGTTGATTGACGAAGAAGGGGGAATTGTGTCATCCTCAACCTTTGCACGGCCTGAGATTTCTAAATCTGTGTGTGAGCGTGTTTGCTGGGACCTTCCTCAACCCTTGCGCGGCTGAAATTGGCCGAAATTGCACGGCCGGAGATTTCTAAGTCTGTGTCAGAGATTTCTAAGTCATTGGTCTCTTGCTGGTGTACATCTTCTTCTTCTCTCTTTCTTCTTCTTCTTCTTCTTTACCTCTCTCTCCTCTCAAGTTCATTCATTTCTTTTGTTAGTAGATGGGAAAAAAGCCGGCCCGGATCTTATCTTCACTGGCGATGTGTTTGATGGAGTGGAAAGAAAGGTACAAGGGGCGTCTTTGCTTTGGATGGATGTCTGAGTGGTTGAAGGTATCAGTCTTGAAAACTGACATTTTACAAAATATCGGGGGTTCGAATCCCTCTCCATCCGTTCATGTATGGCAGACTAATAGGGCCTCGCTCTGCTGTGCAAAGGACAACGCAAAGCAGCTATACTCGCTGCTGTTCAGGCCGCCATGCCTGACTGTGCCTTGAAGCACTCTTGGTGTGGCGCAACCTCGACTGGGGCCTTCCAGATGCAGCACCTAAGAAGGTGATGGTGCCCACCATAGCCAGGTAGGTACCTCGCCACTCTCCCTCCTAGCCCTCTCTTCTTCCTCCTCTTCCTACCGGTAGAGCTCCACTGTAGCCTAGGTGGGAGCTCCCGGTCTCCTTCCTCCTAGCAGCGCTGTAATGCCCAGCGCTCCTCCAACCAATGCTCCAAGCAGTGTGTCGCCAAACTAGCACATCAAAGAATGAGGAGGAGCACTTTGCTCCTCCTGGAGATATAGCGGCCTACTTGCCTCTTGGGCGGTGACTTCCTAGGCCGCGCGACCTCCAAGCAACCGTTACCTCCTCCCTTTCGGAGGGAAACATCATTGCAGACTCTGATATTGCCCGTACAGGTCCTAGACTCAGACTGGTTGCACTGGTACCCGCCTAGATCTAGCCTACAACTACTGGGCCTCTAAAAATGCCAACTTTTGTCTTCTTCTGCTCAGCCTCGAGTACCCGGCACATCTACTTCTGCTTGGTGTGGTACCGGCCTACCTGCTACTTGAGTGTTTTTTTTGCAGGCCTCTTTCCCCGCCACTTGAGTGTTTTCCCCCGCTGCAACCCTCAATGTCATGGCCACAGGTAAGTACCGGCGTACGGGTATCCCAAACAAGCAAGGACCCTTGCGGGTCACACACACACACTCAGGCCAATGAGCACTCAGACAGGCACGCAAACCATCACGCACGCACACACACACACACACAGACTTAGGAAACTCAGCAGAATGCGGGAATCTCAGCAAGGCATCCATTCCAGCGGCAGAACTCAGAAATCGGCTGTGTTCTCAGTCTGTGTGTTTTGACCACTTTTTGTAATTGGACGGCAGTCACGGCATTGTATTTCCTTGTTGAATTTGCGATTCGAAATTGGCCAGGATCGTAACATTGAAAAAAGAAGAAAAATAACAAGGGCTTGATTTGTTGGGGTTCTCTGACGCGGTGCATCTACGTTTGTGCGGCTGCCCTTTCTTTTTTCTTTTTTCTTTTTTGGCTTTGCTGCCTGACCTTTTGCAGCTATATTATCTTCACACCCAGGTTATGCCAGTAGTCGTTCATCGTAACATCAACACCTCCAACATTGTGCTGGATAAGAAGTCGCAACCAAAGCTCGCAAATTTTTCGTTCTCAAGGTCTATGGTGGAGAAAACTGGTACTTGTGTCGGAACGCTCACTGAAGTGAAAGGGACAACCGGTACGTGAAGTTACTTCTGTAAACCACTTCTACCATCTTTCCCTCCCCCCTTCAAATAGAAAATGCATTGGTCGTTGTGTCTAGACCATACTTGTGGCGCACCTTTGCGGTGCGCGGTGCGCAGCTGGTTGATGTGTGCGCATCACGAACAAAATGCACACACGGGGAGTGCATGGGTTGCGCGCAAACCGTTTTTACCTTTTCTTTTTGTGTGTGTGTTAGCATGTGCACTGTACACAACTCCATGACTTTGCCAGAGTGTTTCATCATACTTTCACCAACTGTGAGTTGGGGGGGACGGGGGGGGATGTGCCTGGGTGGATAGGTGGGTAGGTGGGKGKGGAGGGTGTGGGGGGGKTGGGGCGGGGGKGGGGGTGTGGTGATGCGGGTGTGTTTGGGGCGATAAAACTCCCATGATTTAATTGCGACTTGCCTCGTTGAACAGTGTGCTGGAACATGACAACTGACGAAGACCCCGGACCCAGATAAGTCCATGAAAAGAACACAAACAGTGTATCATGCAAAGGCCATAAAGCATAGAAAAGTAGAAGATAAAGGAACAAGGTAAGCAGAAGGGTAGCACTATGAAACAGCACAACATTGTGGCAGCGAAGTAGCAAGGTAGAACAGCAACAGGCAGCGGGGCAAAAAGCGGCAGTGCAAAAAGAAGCAAAGTAACAGGGCAAGAAGCAACCCAAAACAAGGCAGCGAGACAAAAGGCAGCGAGGTAGAAACTCCCGAGGCAAAAAGCCGCAATGTAGAAGGCAGCGAGAAGGCACAAGGCATTAAAGCAGTATGGCACCACAAGGCAAAAAGACCACAGCGAGCAGTTGCAAAGCAAAACAGCAGCGAGGGGAAGGACACCTCCAAGGGGTGTTGTGAAGGAAAAGGCAGAACAAAGACAATGACGCAAGGGGCATGAGGCAACAAGGCGATGGACGACAAGCAGCAGTAAAGGACAAAGGCTGGAGGGTACAGGGGAGGTGTGTGGGCAGGCAAACAGCACACGGTAAAGAAGGAAAAGTCACCGAGCCAAACAGTCACAAGGCAAAAACAGCTAACAAGAAAAATACAAGTGTCAAATACCAAAACAAAAGCACAAAGTGTATGGGTTATGCAACCCTTCTGTACCGTGCTAGGGGTTACGAGCTTAGGTACTACTCCCCTGCTCAGAGTAGAGTAGATAATGTGGTGCCTTTCCCACCGAGCACAGGTCGAGAATTCACCTTGTGGAAGCCTAGGTAAGTTAAGCACGCGGTATGTAGGTAGCCAGCGTGAGGCAGAAGAAAATATTGAGAGAAGAAAATAGCGTAGTGAATACAGCTGTCCAGCCTGTCCCCCATATATGAGGAGGAGAAAGCTTTTTTTTAATTAAAAAAAAAAACTGATGATGTATACGTTTCTCAGCCTTTTGGTCTAAGATCAAGTTTTTTTTTTTTTTTTTTTTTAATGAGACGATGCTCCAAATCTATTAGTGGGGAGCAACACGGATGGGAACCGGGCCCAGCGTCCCTTATGAAAGTACAGAATCATGAAATACCGGGGACGTCAACCGGTTTCGACTAAAAACACTATAGATGATGAAGAGTTTCTCAAAAAAATTCAAGTCCTGATGTACCGAAGGTCCTCCTGACCACGAAAAAGATAGATGGGAACTTGTACAATCCCCTCTATGAACACTCCGGCATGGTCGTTTACAGCGAAAAGCCGGATCTCTACCAGGCCTCATGCCCTCATCAGGCTAGGATACAGAGTTGCACCACCTTGCTCCAGCCTCCGGCCCGCATTGCGCCAGCTCCGACCCCGATGACCACTGAGACTGCCCCCACAAACAGCCTCCCAGATCTCTTCCAGGCCTCACGCCCCCTTTAGGCTAGGTGACAGAGTTGCGCCACCTCGCTCCGGCTCCGGCCAGCATTGCTCCAGCATCGGTCTTCGAGGGCAGCTGTGGTACAACCAAACTCAGCAGAATCACAGATGGGTTGCTGGATACCACCTATTCCTGGCACCTCCTCGAGATGCAAAACCAATTAAAGAGAATTGAGAAAAAATTGTTGGACTGGATGTTTAAAAATCTTCAAAAGTAGATCACCCCTCCCTCCCCATACCCCTTCCCCCTCAGCCCTACACTGCCTCCGCCGAGGCGAGCCTCCCGCTCTCCCTCAGCCCCAATATAGGACCAACCCCCTCCACCCCTATCCTCGAGGACACGCAGTTCCCTCCTAAAACATGCCCTCGCCACCTTGCCCGTTTCTGCCACCACTGGGGTTGACGTTGACCCCTCCACCAACCCCAGCCCCAGAAAAGGGCAACCCCCCAACTCCGCCCCTACCCCCTTCGAGACATTCACCCCCCTCCTTGTGAATCCCCTGCAGGATAGCGCTTCCTGTCCACCCCCTCTTCCAGTTCTACCCTTCTGGAATGATCAACCCAGCCTTCAGCCATTACAGCAGTACTAAAGAATCTCGCCACCAAATAGTCGAGAAAACTAAACCACAAGAATAAGCTTGAAATTGCAAATTGTTGAGTTTCAAATCAAGAAAATCACACCGCATCTTCTGAGATTAACCCATTGAAGAAGGCACAAGGCGGCAGTAAATGAAACGGTTTTCACCTTTTTGCAGTCACAGATGCGGGCCCTAGAGTTCGACCCCCAGACCTGACCTTACCCATGTACAGTATCGAGTTGACCCTTGAGTGTTTGAACCCGCGACCTGTGTTTTGGTAGTTGGCTGTTGTCTGTCGTAGGTCTGTGTAGTTGTAGGGTTCGATCTGTAGGTCTGTCGAGTAGGGGTCATAGCTGTGTAGAGGTCGTAGCTGTAGCATTTCTGAAAGGTCAAGGTCGTAGATGCTACAGTCCTGAAAGGTCAAGGTTGTAGCTGCTACAGTCCCGAAAGGCCAAGTCCACAAACTTTCGGAAGGTCCGGAAGTGGCCTTTCGAGAGTTTCTCGCGCTTAGTCAGAGGCAAGTGGGCAAGTGGTGAGTCCAACTTCGCTTAGTCAGCGGTACCCAGTCCCAGTCTCACTTTGCACAGTCAGGAAGTACCCTGAGGGACTGTGTGCACCATGGGCCCGGTGGAAAAGGGCAGACCAACGACTTACAAAAGTATAAATCAAGAGGCAGCGCCCAGCCATTCATTCATTACTGCGTGAGCCATGCGGAAGCGCTGCCCCAGCGTCTTGTGCGAGGTGGTCTGCAGGTCGCCCGGAGTCGAAGTGGGCTGAAGGAAGATAGTGTAGCCATAGTCAGTAGTAGTTGAGCGGCCATAGTCGTTGTAGATCGAAGAGAGGCTTAAGTGTGTGAGTGTGTGATACAGGGAATGCGTGTGAGGTATTCAGGGTGATCCAGAGTTGAGTATGTGCGAACAGTGGTGTTGGACACAGTGATTAGAGTAGGGATGTACAGGCGCTAATGAGCCATAGCATGTTGAAGCGAGTTTACATCTGAACTGTGTTCTCGACGTCCATATCTCTGAGCTTTGAGTGGGTGCTTGTCGCATGTGTGAGTTGCCATCTGTTTGCTTTTATGCGAAGCAAAGAAGAAAGCGAGTCTGATTGCATTGGTATCGGAGCTGGTTCCCCTTACTCCACGCGCCATCGTCGTTGTTGATAGTCGGGTGCCATAGCTGAAGCTGCGCCATTGAAGGAGGTGGTCCGCCATATCTGCGCAACTGAAGAAAGGTGCTTCCTACCTGCAAAGAAGACAACGGCGAAAAGAGAGAGAGAGAGAGAGAGAGAGAGAGAGAGAGAGAGAGAGAGAGAGAGAGAGAGAGAGAGAGAGAGAGAGAGAGAGAGAGAGAGCGATACAAGATTGTTTTTGTGGTCCAAGATAGGAGGTGGCGGCCATAACCGCCGAAGCTCGGACACAGGGTTACCAAGTAGGAAGAAGGTGAAAGCCGGGTGGGATTGACTGCAGGTGCAGGTGCAGGGCACCTGGGTCTGGATTGTAAAGGACAGTGGTGGCGAAAGCTTCCATCGGCCATGGTAACCTGGCTGGATCAAAGGGTAAGGCTTTGTGGTCCTTAGAGAGTCAGTTAGTAAGTTAAGTCAGTCAGGGGGTGAGAGTCTAAGTGGTGAGGAGTGGAATTGATTCCCGGTTGTACATCTTTCACCATGGTTGACCTGCGTACTGGTGAGAGCACCACCCCTTATACCAAAGCTCAGGAAGAGCAAGCCATCGTCGTACTCCAAGAGAGAAAAGAGAAGGAATCTAAGGAGGAGTTGATTAGACAGGCCAATAAGTTGGCCTTAATGGAGGAGCCGGCGGCGAAGAGGAAGAAGTTGGAGGAGGAAATGGAGAGATTGAAGGAGGAGGAAGAGAAGCTAAAGGCAGTAGAAGAGGAGGAGATAGAAGAGGAAAAGGAAGGAAGACTCCCCGATCAGGAGAAGCACCAGGGAAAAAGGGGAACCCAGTGGCAGGAAGAAGGAAGACTCATGGATAGAGAAGAGAGTCTCTGAGTGGGTGGCGAACTTGTCCCTGGGAAAAGAAGAAGAAACGATGTTGTATGTTCCCCGGGAGGAGCAGGAAGCGGTTGTAAAGGAGTTGGAGGGAGAAGAAGACCCCTTGAGACGCCAGATGATAGAGGAAGAGAAGAAGCTACAGTGGAAGTTGCGTCTTACAAGGGAGAAGGAAAAAAGGATGGACGAGGCAAGGAGAATGGCGAAGGAGTTGGAAGCAATAAAGGAGCAAAGAGAGCAGATCCAGGCACAAGTAGATGTACAAGGAAAATTTGATATTATTACAGGAAACATCGAAGTCTTGGCTAGAGCGTGGGATGAGCAACATCAGTTTGCTAGGGCCCAGGACATAGCACTACACTCCATTCGCCTAGGTTTTAGAGATTTTGCATGCGAGATGCTGCTGCACATAGGTGCATAAATGAAAGCGAGAATAGAGGGCACAAATAAATTTTGTACCGACGCCATTGAGGGTGTAAGGCTGACTGCACCAAAGGAGGAAGAACCACGCCCCCGTAGGGACCCCGTAAAGATCAAGTTTCC